CCCGGGCAGCACAGTCGTCTGCTACGCGGACGACACGCCAGTGCTGTCCGGGAGCACCGACTGGGGGGAAGCGACGGCCCTAGCAAATGTGGCCGTCGAATGCGTCGTACTCTCTATTCGGGCGCTAGGCCTGAGGGTGGCTCCCAATAAGACCAAAGCGCTGTTCCTGCACGCTCGGTCCGAGGAGCCACCCCCACAGGCCCACATTAGGGTGGAAGACACCCGCATGGAGGTGGGGCCCGTGTTGAAATACCTGGGCCTCACCTTGGATGGAACTTGGGGCTTTGTCGAACACTTTAGTCGACTCAGCCCCAAGCTGGGCAGGATGGCGGGCGCGCTTGCCTGTCCCCTGCCCAACTTCGGTGGACAATGGTGAGACGGCTGTATGCCAACACGGTCCACTCGATGGCCCTATACGGGGCCCCGGTGTGTGCGGGTGAGATGGGGGCCAGCCGGCGCATCACGGCGCTAGTCAATAGCGCCCAGCGCGTCATGGCCAACCGTCTCACCCGCGCTTATTGGACCGTGTCGCATGCAGCCGTCACGGTCCTGGCCGGCATGATCCCTGCGGACCTCCTCGCTAGAGTGTACGCTGACACGTACACCCGCCTGAGGAGGCTCCGCGACGAGGGTAAAATTCTGATGGCCGGGACCATAGGGCGGATCCGAGCCCTGGCCCGGCGTAAGGCCCTCCGACGCTGGAAAAGGCAACTCGGGGGGCCCAACGTGCAGGGCAGGCGGACCATCGAGGCCATCCGCCCCTGTCTCCTCGAATGGGTGGACAGGGGCCACGGCGGGTTAAACTTCCACCTGACACAGGTGCTCACCGGGCACGGCTGCTTCAGTGAGTACCTGTGTCGCATAGGGAAAGAGCGTACGACGCATTGCCACCACTGTGCGGCCGATCAGGACACCGTGCAGCACACCCTGGCCGAATGCCAGGCGTGGGCTGCCGATCGCGATGTCCTGACCGCAGTGGTCGGCGGCGACCTCTCGCTCCCGGCCGTAGTCAGAGCTATGGTCGGGAGCAAAGAGGCCTGGGAGGCGGGGGTCTTCTTCTGCTCCTCCGTTATGGGGCGGAAGGAGGCCGCCGAAAGAGTTAGGAGGGGGGAGGCGGAGGTTGTACCGCTCCTCCCCTCCACCTCCTCTTCAAAGGAGGATGAGAAGGACGTGGTGCCGAAGAGGAGGCGTGCGAGGCAGGGTCGCAGGTGGTGTCCCCGCCCCCTCCCGCCCACCTGAGATACAGAGTCCCGGAGGGGAACCTCAACTAAGAGGTTCCCCTCCTACTTAGGGTAGGAACGCCCTCACATGCGGGCGGCTATGGGAGGAGAGGACTTCTCCCCTCCAAATTCCCCCGGCCGCCCGCAGCCCTGATGGGCCACTCCGGATGAACTGCGGAATTAGGAGTGGAGTCCACCCACCCACGGAGGGGCGGGCGGGGACGCTCGGATAGCGCCCTCCGATCTCGGAGGTGCGTCCTGGGGCGTCAATTCACCCGGCCCTCAATGGGTGATACGAATGGGCTCCGGGGGGGAGGGAGTCGGCGGCAGGCGGAAACTTCTGCTGTCAACAACCCCAAAACCCCCTACAACCAACGGGAGGGGTGCAGCGAGAGGTCGTGTGTCCGCCTCTCGCCGCGCAATTGCCGAGGACGGCTCGATTGGTGAGCAGGAGGCTTGTCCTCCCCTCACCGTGTACGGAGCGCATTAGCGCTAGCGCAGGGCGGCCCCCCGAAGAATGCCGAAAGGTGATGCCAGGGGGTCGCCCTACTCGCGTGGTGAAGGACACACTCAGGGGTTTTTAGTGGGTATACCTCCTCCTCTCCTTTAGAGAGGGGGAGAGGAGTCCCACATACCCCCGGAGACCTCCCCGGATCTCCGGAGAATGCGTAATGCATTTTCGCCTGAGTTATCAAAAGAAAAAAAAAATGTTTCTATGGTTAAAGACAAGGGAGCTAATGTTAACGGGGTCTATCCCTATTTGATTTCTTAAGAGTGAGATTAAGCCTATATACGCTTAATAACATTTGAAACAATATTTTATTGGCTGATTACGAGCCGTGTTAGTGCTGCATCTTATGCAAGGCATGACTAAAGGTGCGTTTGTAATGAAACCATGCCATTCGACAATAACAAATTCAGGAGGGTAATCTAAATCAAAAAGACAATTGGGGCATAAGGCCTCGTCTGACTCGCGTTCGGTGATGTATCCTAGCGCAAGCGAACAGTAAGTAGAGTCAAGACCCGGAAATCCCTTGACAATCGGGTGTTTATACACTACTGGGGGTCTTGGTCGGCACATTCTGAAAGGTTAATTTTTATAACTTTGTTAGTGAAATGGCTGTATATTATAGAAGTTAGTGTGTCTGTTCGGTATCCACCTTTATTGAGTTTATCGAGAGTGCATTTGTATTTATGGTAACACGGAAGGCAGTATATGATAGGTTCTACTATCGTGAGATTATGATGACAAACTGAGCAGTATACTTGCTCTAAGGGGCCTAAAGAAAAGCCATGAAAAATGCCGTATTTTAATTCCGGTGGAAGTGATTTTCGAATATAGCACTTGGTGCATAGGGCACCTAATTGATTCTGATGCTTATAACCCGCTAGTATGATGCACTTCACGTCCAACATACTAGGGTATTCCGCAATTATTTCGTGAAGTTTACTCATTGTTAAGAATTATAAATATATTATTGTAAGGTGGTTTGTTTGAAGGATTAGTTTTATAGAATTGATAGCAGTAAAAGCAGTCGCTTATAAGTCTGCTGATACCTAAAGGTATACTACAATAGTCTAATACAATTTCTAATGTTACATTGGTCGTTGATAACTAGATAATGTGAAATTAATTTTTCAAAAGGTTCCGAGCTGCTAAGAAAATTGTTAATTAAGCAAAAATGACATAATAATAAGTTAGAGGAAGCGTGTTTAAAGCCCTCCGTCCGTATGCACTTTGGGTTGATAGGTTGTTGAGTAGCTAAAAAGTTACGGACGGTCCTCGGAGGCTGTGAACTGTACACCAGGAACACTCTGAAACAGAAGTGTGCGTTAGTTATGCTCATCCTGGTTCAATATGAGAAAGCTTCAATTTATCCACGTGTACTGTGCGTGTTGTATTTCCATACTGTATTGTAACGTTATTATTTAGTAAGATTTCTAAGACCTTATAGGGTCCGGTATATTGATCTGAAATTTTACCTTTGCGGGTTCCTTTAATAAAAATACAAAATCTCCTTCCCTAAATGTTGCAGGGTTGATACGTTTATCATAATAATGTTTGTTCCTTTCTTTCGATCTTATTAAATTCTGTCTTGCTTCGTCTTGTGTTTCTTGTAGTTTTTGAAATAAGTCAGTTAAATATTCGTGATAGGTAGGCTCTAAATTTTCTTCAAGTAATTTCTGGGATGAGGGAAGTCGTGGTATTCGACAGTAGACTAGTTGAAAGGGTGTGTATTGAGTACTTTCGTGAATGCTAGTGTTGTATGAAAACATTGCTAATTTTAAGTAGTCATCTCAATTGTTTTCCTTTGTGATTTGTGTTTTTAGATATTCGGTTAAAGAGTGGTGAGATCTCTCAATGGATCCCTGGGACTGGGGGTGATAAGCGGTAGTTTTGTATTGTTTAATACCGAATTTTTTCGAAAGATTCCGCATTAGAGATGTTAGAAAATTAGATCCTTCGTCGGTTAAAAGTGCTTTAGGGGCTCCATAGATACAAATGAAATTTTTTGTGAAGGCGACTGCTATCGCCAAAGAAGTAACTTCGTTTAAAGGAATTGCTACTGAGTATTTTGTGAGTAAATCTTGGATAGTTAATTTGTGAGTATTTCCCTGTTCTGTAGTGGGCAAAGGTCCCACTATATCTAATGCAATTTTGTCAAATGCAGCACCGGGGGTATCCTTAATGATCATGGGCTGCTTAATTTTAATTCTTGTCAGCTTTTTTAACTGACACTCTCTACAACGTTGAATAAAACTTTGGATATCCTTTTTCATGTTAGGCCAAGAATAATTAGCCTTTAATCTATTATATGTTTTAGTGACTCCTTTGTGTCCATCTGCAGTGTCCATTGCAGTAGAATGATTTTCCTCTATTAATGCTTGCCTTTTCTCTTCTCTTGGGGTTTGTATTAATCCTTTACAAATAGTTATACTAATTTTTTCGTTTTCAAAATGTTTTACTAATTGGTTTTGGATGTATTTCCAAGGAATATCGTCGAAGTGATCTGTCTTACGCATACTAAATGATGTCAAATTTATTTCTCTTACTACATCTAAAAGAGTTTTAAAGCAATTCTTTACATTACCCGAATCAACCATTGTTTGGTTGTTTATTTTAACTGGGAGTGATATTAATACTTTGGTACCGAAGGCGTTTACCTTGGCTCGTTCTAAATTTATATTCTCGTATTTGGGAAGACGTTCGGCTTGTTGGTGTTCCTTAGGACCATTGTCATATGGGGTTCCGTCTTGTCCGCGTGGGTGGCGGACATAAAGAATACCCCCAACGTATGGCCTGCGTGTCGTAAAAGGCGACTAAAAGGCCCTCATGGTTGGGCTGCTGCGCCCATGAGTATTAGGAGCCGGAGGGCTCCCCTCCTTCACGCTTCAGAGAGGGAGGGAAGCCCAATGGCGCCTACAGCAGGGGAGCGTACCGGATCTCTTATGCCAGTATGGTACCGGTCTCTCGGGTGGGCAGCGGCGCCCGAGAGTTTCAGAGGAAGGCGAGCGCGCCCGGCTGTCCTTAGGGCAGCCGGTGCGGGTGAACCGACCTCACCGCGGGGGCAGTCGGGTCCCTTATGCCAGTACGGCAACCAGCCTCCCGGGTGGGCAGCTGCGCCCGGGAGTAGTAAGATCCTCGGTGAATATTTCACCGGGGATCCACAGCGGGGGCAGGGCGGGCTCCTGAGGCTCCGTTGAGCCAAACCGCCCCGGGGGGCGGCCCTAAAAGCCGCCCGGGTTGGGGGGCCGCCGTTAAGCCCCCCATTAAAAAACATGATGAACACCAAGAAAGTAGCGACTTCCGGCGGGTCGGGTACGTCGGGCCGGCGCGAGGGGGCTGTGGTCCCAGGCACCCCCGTGTCGTCAACGGACGATGGGCCACAAGAAACCGGCGCGTCAACGGCGGGCGCGTCGGCGGGTATCGCAACCGCCGAGGGGAGGCGGGAGACTGATAGGAAGGAAAAGGACAAAATGGAGGGAGGGGGAAAGAGAAGGAAGTTGGACAAGGAGGAAGAGGATGTGGACAAGGACGAGGAAATTGATCCAAATGAGGTGATCGCAAGGAAAGTCGCGGCTGCGCTGACAAGCTTTCTCAGCCAGGCCAGGGAGGAGGGAATGGAGGCGGATTGCGAAGAGGAAGAAAGCGAAGAGGAAGACTTGGAAGCGGAGGCAGAAGAGGAAGGAAACAGGGGCTGGCCGGATCCGATGAACAGGAAAAAAAACCGGGAATTTGTCCTCGCCCGGATAGGCTTTGCCGTTGATAGTTTCAACCTCATTGAGGAGGCCACCAGTAGAAGCAAGAGGATGAGCAAAACAGAAAAGGCGAATATCAATGGGCACAGCAACGACCTGAGGAGGTACGGTGAGGAAATCGGGAAGGTATTTAAACTGAGGACAGAGGCCCTAGAAGGGAAAATACAGGAATGGGAAAAGTGGTGGGAAGACAGAGAGAAAGAAAGAGAGGACACAGAAACGAGGAGGAGAGAGGAACTGAAGGAATGGGAAAGCAAAGGAAAGAAATGGGATATGGAAAGGATTGAATGGGAAATCAAAGAAGGGAAATGGGAGCTGGAGAGGAAAAAGTGGCGTGCTGATAGGAAGACCTGGGAAAGCAAGGAAAAAAGCTGGCGGGATGAAATTGAAGAATGGAATATGGAAAGGAGGGGATCGATTAGGCAACGGGATGAGGCGGCGCGCGCGGTTGTAGAGGAGGCCGCCGGGAAGAAAGTTATGACGGATCGGGCCGTGTCTCCATTTCCGGAGGCGCGGCCCGATCTAAGGGATAGGGCGACGTCCCCGATGCGGGACGCCACGCAGGGGCGTCGGCCGGCGGTGGCCGCCGGGGCGCCGCCGACAGTGGAGGGGCCCTCCGTGCCCGCCGGGCCCGTCGCGGTCCCCTCGCGGGGTCGTGGCGGGGTCGCGGCGGGTGGGGCGGGCGGAAGGAGAGGCAGGGGCCCAAAATGGGCCCAAAGGGGGACGCCGGGCTCGGGGCGCCTGATGGTGCCCAGGGTGCCGCCGGTGCCGCCGGTGACGGCGGTGGTGGCGGTGCGCGTGGGGAGGGGGCCTCTCGTACGCGGAGACTATCCGCAGGGTGCGGGAGGTCCCCCTCTAGGGAGTGGGGGTCCGTCCGGCCTTTGTGAGGAGAGCCGCGAATGGCGGCCTCCTCCTGGGGCTGGCGGGCCCGGACAGGGAGGGGAGAGACCGGGGGGCCGACGACCTGGCCGATAGGGTCAGGGCGGCGCTCCCCGGGGCCTCGGTATCAAGGCCCAGGAGGTATGGGGAGGTCCGGCTCGTCGGTATTGACGAGTCGGTCCTCCCCGAGGAGATTACGGGATCTCTGGCGGCCCGCGGTAATTGCGGGCCAACGGAGATCCGGGTGGGCCCCATCCGGCGCAGCTGGGGGGGGGGGTCGGGACAGCTTGGGCCCGTCTCCCCCTGGAGTCCGCCGTGATGGTGGCCAGGGAGGGAAGAGTGGCGATGGGGTGGGCGGGTGCGCGGGTGGAATTGCTCGCAGCTCGCCCGCTCTAGTGCCACAAGTGCTGGAGGCTCGGCCACATCCGGGCGGCCTGCTC